GGGGGGGGGTGGGGGGAGGGGGGGGGGGGGGGGGGGGGGGGGGGGGATGGCGAGCCACGAGAAGGGAGGAGGCTAAAATGTGGTAAAAGCTGAGCCTCGGTGAAGGCCAAGACCACCAACAGCAAAAAGGGGAAACTGTAATCAGAATTGAGGCACGTTTTCAGCGTTTTTTTTCTACTCCTGGGACGCGTTTCAACCCAGATATGAGTTTTGTGTGAGCACACACGTGCACAATTATTCTACAATTATGATTAAAGTGAGCAAAACACAACAGATTCCTCCGGGCGAAGTTGACTAAACAAAAACAAAAATTTATGAGAAAAGCTGGTTCCAGCATCGCTGCTTCCACAGGATCTCTCAAGGGATCATCATCAGCAAGACCATAGAACACAATGCCAGGGCGGAAAGACATGAGCAATAACCCCAGAGAAGCAGCTGTTGTTGCTCGTCAATCTGGGAAGGGTCAAAGGTCATTTAGAGTCGATCGTTCTACAAAGAGAAAACATATTCACAAGCGGAAAACATTTATGACAGCTGACAATCTTCCAGGAGTTTCACCCCGAAGGTCAGGCCATGCAGTGAGCTCCGTCTCAGACTCTACAGGTCTCAGTCAGAACATCAAAGGTCAAAGTTCATGACCTCTTTGCTCTAAAAACATGACGGCACGACTTATGTTTGGAAAGTTTCATCTGAAGAAAGCACAAGACTTCTGGACCAGAGCAGAGGACAGATGTTTACCCAGAATGCACAGCAGCAAACACCTCATCCTTGCTGTCAGCACGGGAATGTTATTTTAGCCATTCATATCAAAAAATTCAGCTTATTCAGAAGAAGGGTGCTATGACTTTAGCTTTAGTAACTTTTCCAAATTATGAATTTATTTTTAAATAAATGTTCCCATAGAAGTAACATGAAGGTAAACCATCTCTGTGTTTGTATACTTACGGTATGTTACTTTAGCTTATGGCTAGCCTTTTGCTACTCTTAGCTTTCAGCCACTGTTTTGCTAATTCTAGCTATCAGTTTGTACGTTTTTATATTAAGGTACACTTCTGCTCAATTTATTTCCTGTTTTGCTAACTCTAGCATTATCATTTGTTCAGCAAACGTTACCTTTAGCGTTTTGAATTTGTTTATTGTTTTACTTTTAGCAACTGCTTTCCCAATTTTAGCTTTTCTTTTACCATTTTTAGCTAACGTTTTGTTGTTGTAGTATCCATTTTGCTAATTCTAGCTTCAGCATTTGCTCAGTTAATTTTATCTGCTGTTGTTCTAATTTCAGGTTAAACATCCGATTTGCTCATTTTAGCAACTTTTTTAATTTCAGCATCTACCTTGTTAACTCTAGCACTTCTAGCTAATTTTAGCTTCACAATATATGTAGTGTAGCTACTTTTAAATACATATTTTTCAATTCTAGCATCATTTTTTATAATCTACAACAGTTTTACTAACTTTAACACTTATTTTGCTAATTAGGCATTGTTTTGCTCATTTTAGCATCAGCTTTGATTTTATTTTAGCTTTCACCACTCAGTTTTAGCTTCTTTAGCAACAACCTTCAGCACTCAGCCATCACCTTGCATTTTTTCCCACAGAAAGTACCATTCCTCTGAATATTTTCTTCATTAATGCTATTAGCCTTTATTAATCTGTAACACAAGCTAATTCAAGCTAATTCTGATTCTAATAATCTGCACAATTAGTCTCCAAATGTAATAATCCGATTCGTCTTAGTTATGGTTGATTCCAAGCCGAATTAAATGATTAAGCAGCTTAAGTTGAAGTCAGAGAAGGCTTTAAAGGTTTTAGTAGCAGGTTTAAAGAAAAGCGATAGCTTTGGGACCGAATAGAGACGTTCAGAGTCCAAACGTCCAGCTCTTAATCCCTCTCCGAGCTGGTTATTTTACTCGCTTTAATTGTGAAATGAGTTCAGTTTTGCGGACGTTAACTCGGGTTTGGTGCAGCAGCTGCCTGACAAA